GATGACGATGACGATGGCGATGACGATGACGATGACGATGACGATGACGATGACGATGACGATGACGATGACGATGACGATCATCATGCTGCTGGTGATGACCGTGATCAGCATGTCGGCTACTCTCGATTGGCGCCCATCGATCATGTGCATCAAACTCTCTCACGGGCGGAGGGGAAGGGTTGCAACCCACCCAATCATGCTCCTTGTGGCATTCAGGGACCTCCAAGCTCCACCAAGTGCTTCCGAACGAGAGCTGGCCTCCGTCCCTTGCAAGAGCATCGCTGCCGATGCCAGGGCCAGGGGCCCGGAGTGCTCCATCTGCACCTCTGCCAGGGCTCTTGCAAAGCATCGCCCCCCCGACGCTTCAACTGCGAGCCACCACAGATCACCACAGGAAGTATCTGCAAATCCCTGAATTGTCCAATTCCGGCACGGAAGATGCCAACTCAGACATGCGAATACCGAAACCCCGTTCCGAGCCTTGTCCAGATGAGCCGAGACGACCTGCAATCGACAGGCGCTCAAATGGTTTTGTGCAAATCAATGCGCCTCGTTTCGAATCAGGACCTACTTGAAGCCATGCTTGGTCATTTCCCGAAACCCGTAAACCCTCATCAAAAATGGATCCAAAGCCGTCCCAAACCCTAGAAGCACTCCCTTGCCCCCCCCCCCCCTTGCCTCCAAGCGCTCTGACAGCGCGGTCTCGAGACTCTCGCGACTCAGACGCTCGGAGGCAACCTTTCGGCGGATCCGAAACTCTCAAAAGGAATGCCTGGGGTTTGGCGTCTCCGGCTTCCTTACAAAACAAGCAGAACCGTCCATGTCAGATCGATCTTCGGCGCGAACAGCCGCGGTCATTCTAAACAGGGGATCAATGTAGATAGGGGGAGTTCCGCTAAGGAGAGCATGAGCGTTCGAGATGCTGGGTGTGAGTCCTCTTCGCGCACGTCCAGGTTTTGGGTGTGGTCAGAGTTTAAGAACTGGGGCTGAAACCGCTCAGGATTGAGGATGTTGCTTTGAACAACTGGTGCCTTCTAGACCCGCTGAGAAAAGAACTGCTGTCGCCGGCATCACAGATGTTCAGTTCTCACCAAGATGGACTCGAACTCCTCAACAGAAGGGACCTCGAGAGAAGGGCCCTCCACAAACCCAAATCCAAACAGCAACCCTTCACCGCACGCTAGGGCTGCCTCGTTTTGGAGCCTGTCGAGACGTCTTTCCACCGCGGAGAGATGATCCGCGACGGCCTGAGTTCTTGGGCTGGCAACCATGACTTGCTGTTGGAGTTTCAGTTTTTGTTTAGGATGAAGGGCTTTCGGGGCTGTGGAGAGTTGCTAATGGCAAATCGGGCGCCAAAGCTGATGGGAATGTTCATGATGACGACACTCGTGGTTTTGCTTCATGCTCTTGCTCATTTGCTTTCATGCGTGAAACTGCAGAAGCCGCTCACGAAGACTGAGCGCAGGACCAGCTCAATCCTCGGACACAGAACGGCTTCTGCTGCCAGAAATGCAACCGTGCAACGGGAGTGGTGCCTTGAGTCACGACCCTCTCGTTTGACAGCAGAACTCATCTCCGTAGCAACAACAAGAGTACAAAGAAGGAGAATGGGAACAACAACGAGGATGGCAGCAGCGGCAGCAGGTTGTGGTTGCGGTTGCGATTGCGGGTGCAGGTGCAGTTGCCGTTGCCTTTGCTGTTGTTTTTGCTGCTGTCGTCGTCGTCGTCGCAGCTGTCGACTTCGTCGTGGTGGTGGTCGTGCTACCTTTCAAACTGGAAGGAACAGCAGCGGGAGGAGAAGTAGTAGTTGACGAAGAAGCAGCAACAGGCGCAGTAGCAGCAGCAGTAGCAGTAGCAGTAGCAGGAGCAGGAGCAGCAGCAGCAGCAACAGCAGCAGCAGGAGCGGCAGCAGCAGCAGGAGCAGAAGCAGGAGAAGCAGCAGGAGCTGGAGTCGTCGTGTGGCTGTGGTTGTCGTGGAAGCAGTGAGAGTAGGAGGCGGAGTAGTGGTGGTGGTGGTGGTTGTGGTTGTGGTGGTGGTTGTGGTTGTGGTGGTGGTAGTGGTTGTGGTGGCGGTTGTGGTCGTGGTGGTGGTGGCGGTGGCGGTGGTGGTGAGGGTGGCGGTGGCGGTGGCGGTGGTGGTGGTGGCGGTTTGTGGTGGCGGCGGTGGTGGTGGTGGTGGTGGTGGTGGTGGTGGTGGTGGTGGTGGTGGTGGTTCGTTTTCGTTTTACACGCCGCCAAGGAGGTCCAGGCTGTGCGACAGGATATGTGGTCAGGTTTCCAACCCGGTCGCCAGAGGCGACGCACATAGTGCACCGTCCGTCAAAGACAGTCAGCATGCCACGCCGCGAACGGCCAGAGACATACTGAGAGTAGCTGCTCACTGATTTGATGGCAGCAGGCACTGCACATCCAAGTCCCGTAAGCCTTGGCCCTTGCCTGGTGCCACCTAGCATCCCATACGAAAAAGAATCAACACAAGTAACCAATAAGGTATGATCATAGCAGCTCCTTATGAAAAAGGGAGTCTACATCGCGGCATCCATCACGATTGAGACGAACCAGAACCAGCCCGTGAGACGGATAGCAGCGACAAGCCACCACCCGCGTCACCGGCACAAAGCGGCGGCCGGAAAGTAAGCGTCTCGCGCCCGATAGGCGGTGCAGTTGACTATAGATAGAGAGCTTCCACCATCACGGATCGTTCAAGTAAAAACCTGCCCACTCCAAATAGCCACGCTCGCGAGCCGAGAGGCGGCCCACACCACGGGCATGGTGTGCAACCACCAGCAGTCTGTGTCCTGCGTGCCAGGGAAAGTGGCGTGCGCCACATGTGGGTCAATTTTGATCCCTGGAGTCTCGACAGTACGGAGCACACCAGGCCCCGAGTGAACGTCCAGGTGCACCGGCCCGGAGGGGCTAGCCATCCAGACCTGGCCACCTTTCCAGCGGCTGCACGGTATCAGCATATTCATGGAGCCGGGTTCATTCGCATGATCTTGATGTTTATAGTGTAGCACGTTCAGAAGAAGAGTGCAGCTACTGTACTGATGTCGGGGGTCCACACCGTTGACCAAAGCTGTCAGGAGGCGCGTGGTCCAAGGAAAGTTGTATGTATTGTTTTGGAGTCCCACAATGCCCCCACCGATAGCAAATGCCCCCGCTGAGAAAGTACGCTGAGGTAATTCTGTGTCGCCGTCCGAAGTCGAAAGTTTACGTCGCTTCGGTGTGCGATCCTTAGGCAACAACTCGCAAAGCCGAAGCAGATCATCCATCCCACATCGGCGTTGCACGCAAAGTCTCTGGGAGAGAACCTCCACGGGGACAGCGTCATCCAACGTCTGCGGGGAGCCACCGAAAGACAAGTCAAGTGTAAAGGAAATGCTCTCGTCAACGGTGTTCCATACGTCTCCCCAGGTGGCGGGCTCCAAAGGCGTTGTCAACGTCGACTCAGGAGCATCCGCATCTGTAGCGTGTGAATGAGTGCCAGAGGTAGACCTTGCAGACGAGCGCCCAGTGGTGGTGGTGGTGGTGGTGG